ACAAAAAAGTTTTTGAAAATATAACAGTGTAGAAAATGACAGAAAAAGTAAATCACATTATCTGAATCAGTTTAAGCCAAAACTAGATACTATTTTAGTATGCATTACCATGATTAGGAATGAATATATACATGTATATATATATATATATATAATAAACATCATGCTGATATACAGAATGGAGAAAAGTTGCATTCTGAAACACCATTTTGAAAGAAATTCATAAACAAATTACAAAGAAAGGGAGATAGTTGTCTGACATCTGTAAAATTGATCTTTAAATCAAATCTTAACATTTTATTACACCGAAAATGTATTTCCGATACATTCTCATCTCCTCTTACATAACAGCTTTTCTCAACTTGTAATGCCCTCTATGTGTGCAAACTTTCATTCACCACTAGCCTTGATACTCCTACTTACCGTCATGTGTTTTCATATGAGGCAACTACATGATAGCATGCAAATGAGCATGTGACAACCCTCCACCAATATGAGTAAGTCACAACTCATAGCTCAGCTGATTCCCTCTTTGCAGCTTAGCTCAACTCCACTTCAAGACTGAGCAACATAAAAAGAAAAAGACACTTGAAGTGGGGAGGAAGGGTGGGAAGTGTGAGAAAAGGTAAGAATATATCGAAAATACACTTTCATACGATATCTTACCTCTTTTCACATAGTGACCTGGTGGGGGGACAGGTGTAACAGTACCTAGATGATCCCCTTCAGAAAGTGCCCAAAGAAAGCACATGAGATGTGTGTGAAGAAAAAATATGAAAAACACACCACTGGGAGACCGCATAACTTCTGAGCCAGGTACACACTTCGTCCATGAAATTCAGGTGTTGCAATAAAGGTGGAATTGCAGATGAATCCCATAAATTAAATGAAGGGGCCCATGGTGTAGAGTGGCTAGGGTGTGGTAGACTGTAATGAGAAGTCTTATCTCAACCAACACTAACTGTACTGTGAAATGAATATCTGACCCATGGTAAGAAGAGGGTCCTATATCATTCACCTTGGACCCAAGAACTGGAAGGGAAGAAGATCTTCCATTCCAAGGATCTGCATCATCATGTGTGCATGTCCAACCCCTGAGAACTGACATCCAGATGATAGTAGGAAGGTGGACAGCAATATGAAGGTTCAACTTCAGTCCAGAACTAGGCAGCATTTGGAATGAATCATCCAGTCCACAGTAAGAGGAGGATACCTAGGCCACTCACATATGAGGACTTATGTGGCTGGTCCATCTTCAACCAACATCAGTACCCCCAGGAACCGACATCCAGGCAATGGTAGGAAGGAGGGTGAACTGTATTGTGGCAGAATTCATCCAGTCCATAACCAGGTCTAAGGTAGATGTGTCTATACATCATCTACACCAGCAGAACACCACCACCCTACTCTCAACTGAGTGGACCTTAGCACATTCAGGAGGAAGTCTTCATGTTCCACCATCCCAGTGGCTAGAAGCTGGTAAGTGGTAAGGACTCCTGCACTCCAATGGAAGAATAGGGGGGAAATGTGTTAATAATCTGGAGGAATGCAACACCAGAGACAGTGCAACTGGTGACAGTGAAACCTTATACTGAAAAGCAGACCTTTCCTGATACAGCCAAACAAAGAAGCAGCAGGGATGGACAGTACCCCTTCTGCTTTACCTATGTTAGTCCATAAGTGTACAGTCCAGGGCGAACATCTTTATGACACAAAACACTGTGAGGAAAAACCTATAAGCAGTCTTGTGGAACACCCCATCTCAATAGTGGGAATTATTGACCTGAATGGCTGTACAGTGTGGGTTTCAAAATAAGTATATATGAGATAAATGTATGGAGGAATGGTCCACATGCCAGTATGAACTATATCTTCTAAAGAATGACAGAATTGGATAGCCAGGAACATGGTAAAATGACAGATTTGATGGGAGAAGACTTGGAAGAGACGACAATCATCAAGAGAAAGAGAAGAATAAGCCAGATGAATCAGCTGGTGAATCCAACCCATAAGGGTAATAGGAGAAATATCTTGGGAAAGGGAAGGATTCCAATGAATAAACAAGCGGGAACCACAAAAGAAAGCAGTGCAAGCCACATAATAGCAAAGGGCCTGGACAGTACATAAGAGGCAACCTGGACCAGAATGAGGAGAAAGGTGAGAAATGGGAGGAAGGATTTTTCACCCTCACGTGTGGCCGAAATCTTGACTGAGGGCATCAACAGCTACAGCCAAAGGATGAGGAATATGAAACCAAAACCTGGTAAGCTTGGAATTCAGGTGAATGGTGAATGCATCCAGTTCCGGAGTACTCCACTATGAACGCAGTCAACTGAATGCAGTCATTACAGACCAACGTCCAAAAATCTCCTGCATGTCCATATATGAACCCCAACACAAAAGAAGCATTCATGAAGAGGTGCACTTCCAGGCAAAGAGGAGAAAGAGGAACACCCACCCTTGGTTCAAACATCAGGCAAAGTCCACATGCGGGAAAGGAGGGAGATAGATAGGGGTGTCCAACGGATCCTGAACGAGGTTCCACTGATCTTGTAAAGCCTACTGAAGATGTCATATGTGGGCTTGATCAAGGGAAATGAGGGCCTCTAAAGAAGCCCACATCCCCAAAAGAGATAGAACCTCTTGTGTAGCTGGAGAAGGAGAAGAGGAAATGGTCCAAACTAAAAGCTCCATAGATCGCAGGCAAAGGAGAGAAAGTTGGGAATTGAAATATACCACAAGATGAACAAGGTATTGAGTGAGGTAGAGGAAGGACTTCTCCATCTTGACCAGCTAACCTACTTGTGCAGCTCCTCGAACAAGATACTGAGTGTGAAGGGAAATGGTGGTATGTGAAGGAGCTAGAAGCAGCCGATCTTACTTTTAATGGTGGAAATAAAGGCCCCTGGAATGGAGAAAACTGGCAAAGGCCTTGACCACCTGAGCTGAAGCCAGCTCAAACAGAAGAACCTGGAACTGATAGACACAACACCAATGGACAAAAAAATTAAGAAAATGCCTGGATGCTGGGAAGGTGGTAATGTGGAGGTAAGCATCCAAGACATCTACCATCTTCATCCACAGACCAGGAGTGAAAACCCATCAAAGAGATAGGCATGACTCTTTGGTGAATAGAAGAAGGTTGAGGAAGCAGTTCAAGGAAGAAAGATTAGTGATGGGGCATAATTCTCTGGTCGTCTTGGGGACAACGAACATATAGGAATAGAAACCTGGCTCAGAAGGATCCACCTGTTCCATGGCACTTTTGTGAAGATCATCAAGAGCTGTCTCAGATAGATACTGGCTGGAAATGGGATGAAAGGAAGAAAATGAAAAACAAGCCCTTCAGAGAAACCCCACAGAACCCAAGGGTGAAAGACTCCCACGCGGTGGCAAAATGCAAAAGCCTAGCTCCTACCAAACTGTACCTATCACACAGTCACCAGGACCACTGGGGCACTTAAGTCATTGATGAAAAAACGATGCTTGACCTCAGAGATCCACGAAGTAGAAACAGGTAAAGGAGAGGTATGAGACATGGGAACAGGCTCAGGAGGAGATTGAGACAAACAGGAAGCCAAGAGGAAAGGGAGATGTGCAAATGGGTAGACTCGACTCTAGATTCTGAGTCAGGAAGGCCCACAAAGACATCTTGCCTTAAAAAGGGAGCCATACCTAAGTCCCATAAGGAGGTTGAGGTAAACGGACACAGGACAAAAAGGCATCCGGACCCAATAGATCACAATACCAGAGGAGCCATGTTTGGAGGGAAAGGGCAAAAGAGTACAATTGTGACAGAGTGGACAAAATTAGGGCACAAGTCTCCACCAAAAACCTCTCCGGGGAATGATGAAGGGTCTCAGACAAAAACTGAATGGAGGAAAGAGAATGGAGGAGGTGGATACAGTAGAACTGAGGTTGGGAAAACATGACAAAAGTATTGGGATTTGAACCCCACAGAGGTAGAAAAGAACCCAACTGCTGCGAATCCAAAAAAGGAAACTCAGCCTGATGGTAAGACAAAGTATGGGCTTCCATATATATGATCCAGTTGTTTTCATTGTCACTGAATAATTTAATACTGAAGGGTCTACTCCAGGTGGAGAAAACAGAATGTAAATGGTCCACAAACGTATTGGCATGAACTCCAATATCTGGTGGGGGAGGGAAGAATAAGATATTGGGCCAAAGATGTCTCACTTAAAAGGGAAGGACAGGATTCAAAGGAAATTGGGACACAAGAACAAAACATAACAATCCTTGTTGATCAGGAAAAGAGAAGAAGACCTGGATGCATCCACTGGGGCTAAACGTGACTGCATGGCATAGGATGGGGGAGGAAACAAGCTGTCAAAATCATCGTCCTCTTGTTCAGGTACCACTGATCAAGGTGTGACAGAATAATCTTTGGGTGAATCTGAAACTCACATGAAAGTAGCTAACTCCTGGCAAACCAAAGCTATAACATCTTCTGCTAATAACTGCAGACCCAAAGCCATTGTAGACGAAGTAAGGATCTTTGTTGTAGGACCAGTAGTATTAGTAAAATTAAACTCTGAATTCATGATAACTATGAGTGGAAATAATAAAAAATCCACAAAAGTAGCTCAAAAAAATTATTAATAACATGTAATATTAAGATGTACAAACGAAATGATAGACAATTGAAGTGTAACAAACTAAAAAAAAAAATTACTTCAAAAAAACAAGTAACTGATTAAAATTCCATGAGTAAAACTCGATGGAAAAACACATTTAAACATCATGACTGCCAATCAAGAAGTGAAGTTGAGCTAAGCTACATAGAGGGGTCAGCTGAACTAGAAGTTGTGTCGCACTCCTATAGGTGGAGGGTTGTCTCTTGCTCAGTTGCATGCTATCACACAGCTGCCTCATGTGAAAACATGTGAGGGTAAGTGGAAGTATCAAGGTTAGTGGCAAGCAAACATTTTCACATATAGAGGGCAGTGCAAGTTGAGAAAAGTTGTTGTGTAAGCAGAGGTAAGATATCATATCTGAAATAAGCACTAATTACAAACAATTTTACCAACGAAAAAATTACAGTAATGTCATAAAAGGTTCTAATAATAAAACCATTGCACAGACAAGAAAAATCATTAGAAAAACAAGAGATGAGTAATTATATCCTCAAGGGATGATAGTTTTATATTAAATATATGATTATGCTTTGGGATAGTCAGAAAAATTTTTTAAAAACCTACAAGTGTGCAGTTACAGGCAAGACTTCTCGAAGCTGTGCAGAAAAATTTGGTAAATGTTTATCTTTCCTTGCAAATTACACTAAACTAGTAAAGCTTAAAAAATGACAAAATATCAGTTCTAAGATATTTTGAGCTGAAAATGTTGAACTAGAATTATCATTTTTGCTTAAATTTCATATATAAATGCACAATCCAAC